GGCTTAAGGAAAGTCCAAACCCTCTAAATTCGTGTTGGGGGTCAAGTTCACTTGTTTATGAAATTTGTGGTTTAAAAAAGACTCAAACTCTCTAATTTTGTATTGTATCATATTTTGACATCTTACACGCGCACATGGGATTCAAACAAAAGCGTAGGAATATAACCTTTACAAGAAAACTACGGAATTCAAACAAAAGAGCCACCCACCATCAGAAAAACCTAATTTTTTAAACACGCATTGTGGAAGAAACTTTAAGGTGGATGAATTGCATTTGGTATTGTGTTTTAACTTAAGTCTTAGTTGTCATTCCTTTTGGAATTTTTTGCCTTGGATTTGTGTGGGATTAGGTTAAAAGCCCATCAGCCATTCCATTAACTTACCCCTCCATACAATTCAAATATATTTTATTTTATTAAATAATTTAAATCAAAAGAGGAAAAAAAATGAAAAATTAAGCCGATAATCACGACAGGTGAGAATCAACAGTGGAGATGTTAAATTGTGGAGTAAGTTGCCTGCTAGCTTCCAAATCCATTGGACTTTGTTAGTGGCATGGTATCACTTGGGGTAGTAGTTCTTTTTCGACTTAGAGCCAAGGAATAATTTTTTAGAGGGAGCCTAGTCATCTTGTCATTTACACTAACCCTATATGTTTAGGGTTGAGAGTGTCGTGTTACTGTTGGTTCTTGTCAAAATATACTGAATCTATATATATTTCACTTGATTCTAGTTGAGAATGGTCAATTTTGTGTATCATGTATAATCAGAATTGTGAGAACTAACTTGTTAAGTAAGTGTGGCCGGTCAGGTCAATCCACTTATCTCTCGAACTTACTAAGATTGCACTCATACAAGATAGCATTGCGTTTGATTGCATGTTGATTGAAGAATCATGTCAAGGATGATGATCTACAATTGTACCCATAAGGACTTGTTTTGACATATATATGGATGACCACAAGCGTAAAGTGTAGAACTAGCTATTGTTTGATAAATGAATGAACTCAAACCAATTGTTATAAAATTTTCATCTACAATTCAATTTATGATTTAACTAAATATTCATTCAACTGGGTTTCATTTTGCAACCCTACTTGGTCAAAGAGTCATCTCCCTTGAATCCATTGATTTAGCAGATTCAAGGCATATGAATAACAAGTAAAAGATGGGGCCAACAATACCCTGTAAAGTTTCAATCAAAACCCACTCAAAATGCAATTTGACAAAGGGGAGTGGCCTAGAATTCAGTCAAGGTCTTCACAAATTGCAATATTATTTGTCATTACATGCTTGACTCTTCCATGTCCTTTGTCCATATTGTTTCACACTCTTCTTTATCCAAAAGTTGAGAAAATAAACTCTTTTTTTTTGTCACTCACTATTACGAGAAAGGGACGATAAGGTTTGAACCCACAATTTTAAGGTCCAATAGTGGGAACGATGCATTTTGATACGGTTACAAATAGTATGTGTCCATATTTTTCAGATGAGAATATCTCAAATGATTTATTTGTTGATCATGTGGTGTTGGGTTGTATCCTTCCCAAACTGTCATTGCCAAAATATGCTTCACTTTTCATGATAGTGTGCAATTTGTTCTTGTGCTTTGAGGAATGTCAAGGTACCCAAGGGGGGTATAGAGTGGAACAAAGGAATCTATTGGTTTTGTTCTGTGATTAATCAACTTATGTCATTTGTTAAAATTAACTTTAAGCTTTCTTTTCCCATTTAATAATCCACCAGGTGATGGTGGACCAGAGCAGAACAGAGCATGGCCATCTAGTTTAGAGATCTGAGTTTTATAGTCCGTATTAAGAAGGTGTTTCGGGGAAGAAAAAGGGATGTCTATTACCCATAAACACCACTGTTGGGCAAATAGAAATTGAAGATAGAAAAAATAAAAACAAAACACAAATATTTACATGGTTCGGCACGTTCCATGACAATTCAAATACTGATGGATCTCTATATTTTTGATTAACTTTCTAATAAACCTGTTCACAATATGTTAAAATATTTTTAATAGGTTTTTTGTTTGATACGCGATTCTCACCTGTGATTTCCCGACAAAAAGTGTGACAAGCCACACAACATTAACACCTTTGTATTAGTCATGGTCTTAACATTAGATATGGTCTATTGCTAGCCCAACAATAACAATGCATTCGATCCCTAAGTTAGATCATCAAATCAAGTACCATTAGAATTATTGCAATTTTATCATTGTCATGCAAATTAGGAGCTCCAAGGTTTATCCCCCTTCATTGGTGTGGGATCTAGTTCCACTTGAATAGGATGGTTTTTCTGTATTTAATTAGGTCCCTGATTAAATTTGCGGGTTTAGGTCTCGTAGTATTGCTCAATTCCTTTGCAATATATTAAGTGTAAATATAATGGAGAGGATTTCAATCCCTCTTCTCACATGGTCCTAATCCACGTAGACCAAAGGGCAAACACTCAGATATCCTCCGCAAATGTTTTTTTTTCTGTCAATTTTGTTGACAAGCCATTTATTATTATTGAGTAAGAGTCTTATTCATATACAATGAATTCCACCTAAATTTACGATAAATAAGCCATTAAATAAAGAAAACTAGTTTAGACAAAATCCCCGCAATCCGCAATAGATATGCACAAAGTGTCATATAAGTACTAAGACCAAATAACTTTATACATACATTGAATATTCTCTCAAAATATATGCAAGTGTCATTAGTACTAAGATAACATATGCAAAATAATAATCATCTATCATGCATTCAACTAAAATTCATTACTTGTATATATGTATATATATATATAAATAAATTTTTTTATTTATTTATGGTCAATAATCTACAAGAAAAATATTAAATAAAAAATATATTAGAGAGAATATGTATTGGTGTGGTATCATTTTTCCACAACTGTCACAATTATAGTTGCGTATACGGTAGTGTGATGATCAATGTACACATGAAAAGCATTCGAGGCACAACAAAAAATTTTAATCAATGTGTCCAAAATGGAGGACCACCTTATACTCTTCTATTAAATACCATTGTCACCTCTTTAATTCTAATAATGAAATATACTACTAATGTTCTTGCAAAATAATGTTTTTTACTTAACAAAATAAAATAATATTTTTATTTTAACAATTTTTAAATATATATATATATATAATTTGACCACAATCTGTTTGCTCACTCATGAAGATACATGGTCATCTGCAGTGTCCCTTCAAGAATTTACTAGTGTTGGTAATTGAACCGAGCTATTCGGGTGCGGGCTCGGGCTCGATTCAAACTTGATTCATTTTTTAAACGAGTCGAGATTGAATTTTTTTTTAAACTTGTTTAAAAAAACAATATCAACAAGTTCGACTCGATTATTAACCCTACGTCTACCTATAACTCAATGAGTGTAGTGTCATATTTGAATCGCGTGGTTAAAAAGTCAAAATATAAAGTTATATTTATGTCATTTATTTGAACATATGAATTAAAAAATAAATAGATTAAGAACGTTTTTTTCACTCAAATATTATTGACCACTCATAGGTTCTCATATATAAAATTTATAACTGATTCACTTTAGAGTAATTAAATTGAAGAGCATGACAAAAAAAAATAAACCCAATCAAAACAATTTCTTTAAAATACTAATTAAATAAAAATTCAATTACTTGCATCTAATACAAATATTTTTCTTTTATTATTCGTATTAATTAAACATATTATATTTAGAATCGTGCTGCATAAAATTGTGTGTTTTACAAGTTCTACTCCTAGATTAAACCTAGAAAATTGGAAGGATCTTAGCAATCTCTCATCACCCAATGCTCTATGACTCACAACAGAACTAGGGTCCGCGTGGTTGACTTATAAAACACATGACAGTCCAACTTTCCTTCTTATCAATCAAGAATGAAAATTACATCTAAACCTCCGTATGATTATATTAGTACGAGAATAATCGACATGTCTGTGGCATCTCTTATCAGATTAAAAGTGTTAATTAAAATATAATTTTATTAAATTATATTCATGATAAATGAAACCCCCATGTAGACATATCTTCAATGAAATCTCTTTTATTTTTTAAATTTTTGTACGTATTAAAATTTAAGCATATTAAAATTTAATCCAATCTAATTAAAATTTAAGTTGATTAAAAATTATATTTTTTATGTATTAAAAATTGAGCTGATTAAAATATTTTTAGAGGCTAAAATCAAATTTTAATCAAATCCCATTAAATTTTAATCTATCCAAATATTGAAACATAAACAAATATAAATTTTAATTGACTTGAATTTTAGTATGTAAAAAATAAATCTTAATTAACTTGAATAGAATTTTCTTAAATAAAAAAATACAAATTTTAATCGATTCAAAACAAATTTTAACCAGGCTAACAATTCAAGGAGAGATCAAATTGGCTCAAATTTTAATGCATAAAAGAATTTTAATAGGCTCAAATTTTAATACATAAAAAAAAATTTAATTAGCTCAACTCAAATTTTAATATTTAAAAAAAAAAATTTAGTCAACTTGAATTTTAATATGTAGAAAAATGAATTTTAATTGAATTTAATGTAGAAATATTGTTTGGAGTTTATGTAAGAGTAATTTTGGTATTTTAGATAATTTATTTTTATTATAAATGGTGGTTTAATGGCAAAGAGTGTCAATGATGTTTAAATATAAATTAGAAAAGATATCAGTGATGTTTTTGATAATAAATGAGGTGTCATTGAAGATATGATAAACTAGAAGGGGTGTGATTGAAATTTTCCGTATATTTTAACACACATAAGGAGGTTGGTTTTGTTGTTATTTGGATAACAATCAGGGGGTTGTAGATGTAATTTACCCAAAAAGTATATATTGCAATTTAGACTATTTGAAGAACGACCCCTTAAATTTTACTAGTTTTCTTTGGAATTCAATACTCTAGTCTCTATCTAGTCTCTCGCCACTATAAATATATCTCTTCTAACTCTCTCTCTCTGTGCATCATTGGGGACATAAAAGGTGCCCGGGGTTGAAAGGTCTCACTCCCTCTCTTTCTCTCTCCAAATGCAATGGGAGGCAAAACTAGTACCAGGAGTAGTTGAAAATCTGAAGTCCCAAGATGAAGATCTTCTTCCTCAAATTCATGCTTGTCATCTCACTTTTTGCACTGGTAGAGTCTACATGCCACAGTACAGACCAAGAACTTCTTTTCAAGGCTTTCAGCTCCGTCTCTGGCTTCAAGATCTCCTGGTTCAAGTCCTCTAATTCTAACTGTTCATACCCTCCAATTACAGAAATAAAGCTCTCATCAAGAAATCTCAGTGGTTCTCTCTCATGGAGGTTCCTCAGAAACATTTCTCAGCTTCAAACCATTGATCTCTCTAACAACTCTCTCAAAGGCTCTGTACCAGGTTGGTTTTGGTCCATCCAAACCTTGGTTAACGTTAGTCTCTCCAGGAACAAGCTAGGAGGTACCATTGGGTTTGACCCTCGTTCAGATGTGACACAAACTTCATCAATTCAAGTGCTCAATCTGTCCACCAACAGGTTCACCAACTTGGCTCATCTCTCCAATTTTCCAAACCTCACTGTTCTTGATCTTTCACATAATGATCTGAAAATTCTTCCTTTTGGTTTCACCAACCTGACCAAGCTTAAAAAACTTGATCTTTCAAGCTGTAACATTTCAGGAAATCCAAAACCCATATATGCTCTTCAATCATTGAGATATTTAGATGTCTCAAACAATCACATGAATGGTAATTTTCCTTCTGATTTTCCTCCACTTTCCGATCTCAAGTTCTTGAATGCTTCATTCAACAACTTCACTGGCATATTAGGCTTAGACAAAATCCAAAAGTTTGGCAAGTCTGCCTTCATTCATGCTGGCAGTTTTACAAACAATTCAAAGCCCCCAAACTTCCCTATCAAACCACAATCTATAAACCCAAGTCCCAAACAACCACAACAACACAAACAAATCCACAAACACATCAAAGGCAAGAAACCCAAATCAAAGACCAAAATTTTAGTCTTAGCTATATCATTAGCATCAATTTTTGTGGCCTTGGCCATGGTTGTTGCTGCATATTTCATGTACAGAAAGAGAAAATTGGCAAGAAGGAACAAATGGGCAATCTCAAAACCCATTCAACTACCATTCAAGATTGAAAAATCAGGGCCATTCTCATTTGAAACTGAGTCAGGTACATCATGGGTGGCTGACATTAAAGAGCCATCTTCAGCACCAGTGGTCATGTTTGAGAAGCCATTGATGAACTTCACATTCAAGGACCTGATAGCTGCTACGTCTCACTTTGGAAAAGAGTCCCTACTTGCAGAGGGGAGGTGTGGGCCCGTGTACAGAGCTGTTTTGCCTGGTGATCTCCATGTGGCAATCAAGGTTTTGGAGCATGCTAGAGATCTTGATCATGGCGATGCTGTGGCCACGTTTGAAGCTCTGTCAAGGCTTAAACACCCCAATCTCTTGCCCATATCTGGGTATTGCATAGCAGGTAATGTTTGTACATCTTTAATTCTGTATGGTTAGTTTGGAGATAGGGTAGTAAATATGGGGCATCAAACTATCATTTTGGCACTAAAATTCATAATCAAACAAAAGATAGTTGTAGTTTATTTTGGATTAAAAAGACTAGTTACGACAATAGGGTTATGACCCAACGCAATCGAGGTGGATTTCTCCTTTTTTGGTGGGTCACATTTGGATCCTAACTCTTCGGATTAATACTAAAATGTTAACATCAACGTCAAACGATCTCATTTATATGTACTAGCAATGTATGTAATAAATAAATTTAAATGATATTATTTTTGTAAGAAACCTAAATTATATGTGTAATTAAGTTAAATAATAAAATAGGTGTCAAATAATTAATCTCTATTTTAATTATTATTAAATGTAATTATTAATTTATTCAATAAATTTTTGAATATCTAATCTATTATTTATCTAAGTAGTTCTCCGACTTTTTAAACATTTGCACGTCTAATTATATATTATAGAATTATTATTTTTTATTTTATTAAATAGGTTGATTAAATCACTAATAATATTATTATTTTGTTACATACTAAAAAATTTATATGTAACTGATACTAATAAATAGGTTGGAAAGAATTTAAAAGTTCTTATAAAAGATTAAAAAATAAATTAAAAGTTAAATAGATATTAAAAACAAAAATGAGATGAAAGTATAAAAGTGAGTATAATTGATTTTATTATAATAATTAGGAATAAACTAGAAAATTAAATTTTTTTTACAGATACTAATATTTATAAATAGTATAAATATAGATATAGATCTGAATCGTGAACTTGTTTTTATTTTATATAAAATTGATTTTATATTGAAAAATTAGTTTTTTAATATTGCAGTTTTTTTTCGTAAATATTAGTTTTTTTTTTTTGTTTTGGTAAAAACAAAACTAAGTGTATTGAGAAAAAAAAAAGTTCGAATTTATGGTAAAATGTGAGTTGAATTTATATATAAAGCTTATAATATTGTCAATTGTACGATACAAAAAATTATAATTTTTTTAAGTTAAGTATAATTTTTTTTTAGAGGACATGATTGATAATAGAGCAATATGAATATGATCGATCTTTAAAGTTATAAATTTTAAAAGTTATATTGTAATTTTTAAATATTAATTTGCAACTCTTCAATAATTTATTTTTTTTTTTTTAGACACCGCAGGTTTTTCCTCTAATTAATGGGGATGTCCTTTGACCTACCATATTGAATGGGTTCACGAGTATCGTACACACTGGACAGAAATCTAACAGTAGCCCGATGATTATTAATTAATAGGTTTTCGTGACCAAAAACAAAGCTGCTACCATTAACTTTCTTGTGCAGTGTACCCATTGTTTTCGAACAAACAAGTCAAATATAAACACTTCAACTATAAAACCTGAGTTAGGTAGGACTTTAGGACAAGAAGTATTAGTAATAATAATAATAAGGCTAAAATTTTATTAATGACAATGTAAACTTTGAATATATTTTTTTATTCAGTTTTTAATTAATTGTCAGTTCTAATTGTTTGATTTTGTGCAGGAAAAGGGAAGCTAGTCTTGTATGAATTTATGGCCAACGGTGACCTCCACCGATGGCTCCATGAGCTACCAACTGGGGCACTCAACGTGGAAGACTGGACCACCGACACGTGGGAGCATCACAGTGATGGAGAAGAAAATGGGCCCCGTATCACATCCCCTGAAAAATTGGAATGGCACACGCGCCACCGCATTGCGGTGGGCATGGCCCGTGGCCTTGCTTACCTCCACCACGCGCAGTCCAGACCGGTAGTGCACGGCCACTTTGTCCCATCAAATATTTTACTTGGTGAGGACTTGGAGCCGCGAATTGCGGATTTTGGACTGAGTCAAGACCGAATTGCTGGTTCTAGGGAGACTGATGTGTACAACTTTGGTGTTGTTTTGATTGAGTTGTTGACTGGCCAACCCGGTTCCGTTGAGACCGTTGAGTGGGTGAGGACGTTAGTGAAAGAGGGACTGACTGTGAACGCGCTTGACTCAAGGCTGAGACTTGATGGCGACTCGGTGTGTGAGATGGTGGCGAGCCTCCGAGTTGGGTACTTATGTACGGCGGAGACACCAGGGAAAAGACCCACAATGCAACAAGTTTTGGGTCTGCTCAAAGACATACATCCCATCACCGCCGAATTAAGCTGAGTTGAGCCGCCGAGTCAATGCTCCATTTTCAAACTATTTCGTTCCTACTAAGTGTACGCTCCGAATAGGCGTGTGCAGATGTTACCATCACAATGATAGCTGTATTCATGGTAAATTAGTCATGATCAAAAATAAGTCATGACATCCCCTTTTAAATTTTCTCTTCAATTCCTTTTTTAGCAAATCACTAACTATGCTGGGTCAAAAAAGGTGCGGAAAAAGAGTGTATAAAGATCACTTTAATAGATTTTTATTGGTTGAATCTTGTGATTTTTAATCGTGTTCGTTATTTCTCTTAGAAAAAAATTTAATTTAGTATAGTGATCAATTATTTAACTCTAATATAGATTTTAAAATTCAAATTTTCAATTTTAAAGTGAGAATTTTGGTCGGCATTTCATTGTATCACTCCATTTGGTGGTAAATCACTAACTATGCACTATAAAAGAAATAATTATATTAATTAATACGAATTAATTCTGTGTAAGTTATAAATATAAAATTAAATATGAAATAAAAATAATAATACTGTAATACAATGTTTAGTAAGACATTGAATTAACGGTGAGATAATAGAGTATTAATTAAATATAAACAAAAAAGTCATCAATCTAATTTAGTTATTTTTTTTCATTTTATAACATAAATAATATTAAAAGCGGTTTCAATATTTCTCACAATCTTATGCCGTCTCAATAAAGCAGTTACAATTTAATCTAATTATTCATATTTTTATTTATTTGGTGAGTAACATAATACGGTTGCATTGTATTATAATATCACATTTTCATGTGATATTAAAATTAACTCAAAAGTATGAATATAGATATCTAGGCTTTAGCAACCAAACATAATATAAAATTGAATTAATTTTTTTTTATTATGATTATTTAATCCATCCTCTAATAATACAATTAAACGATCCTATTTATTTATAAGTTGGATTACACGCATTAATAATAAATAATTCGCCGAGAGATAAAAAAAAAATATGATGGGAGAAGATCTAAATTTATTAATTCATTGTCTTTACAAGAGAGGGTCCCACTGCATTAATTGTGACTTTGTCACTTAGGTAGTGTCACGTCAGATTTACGCGGCTTGATAGTGGTTGGGACCAGGCACTTGAGGTCTCATGGGAAGTATAAGGATGTTTTGTTTTGTTTCGAATTGTGTAAGTTATTTTTTCAAGTTTTGAAATTGGTTATCGTAGTTTGATTTAATTTTAAGAATATATTTTTTAAGAGTAATGTTACACAGATTTAAAAATTAAACTTAATAATTTAAACAATTGATTTCACTATAGGTCTTAGTATTTATTGGGATCTACTACTACTACTATTCAATTGTTGAGATTATTAAATCTAATTTTTAAGTCCATCTAGCATTACTTATTTTTTAAAGACTAATGGTGGCTAGTTTTTAGAAAATTTTCTTTATTTTTTTTTTCATAAATTAGATGTTGCAGAAAAAGGTTAATCTAATTATCCAACATGACCCTGTTCAAAAAACATAAAATTATCTACTATAACCCAAAGTCTAACAGTTAAATCCAAATGGACTTCGTTATTTTTCATAGTGATTTTTTTCGATGATAGATAATTCATGATAAATTCAAATTCAATTGACGTCTATTGTATAAACACGCATTTGATTGATACATATTAAGAGATTTATTGTTTAAGAAATTAAAAAAAAAGGTGTATTGCAAGAGATCTGGATCGAGTCTAGTTTGAGGAGAAGATTGATTGCGTATTGTTTATTTTATTGTTATTTATTTATGTATATTGCTTTTGTAATGTATAGATAAAGGGAAAAAGAAAAAAAAAGGAATAAAAATAAAGGTAGACAAAATGATGTGGGGTTAAGATAAGGAAGGATATGGGAGTAGGGGGTGTCTTTAAGGCGTACAAAAGAGACAGTGAAGGCAGAGAATCCCACTTATTGCTTGTCTCTTCCTAGAGGGTTTTTCTTTATTTTTCTCTCTTTTCTTTTCTTGTTGTTTGTTTCTTCTTTTTTGTCCATTTTGTTTCCTTTATTCCTTCAATTTCTATTTTTTTTAACATACTTTCTATTTTTTTTAAAAAGGGTTAAAGGGTATATCTCTCTAGTAAAGCATGTGGGTCAATGAAGCACCTACCATTTATCCTATTATGTGTGTAAAGAAGTTGAATGTCATTGGGACTAAATAAGGTCGATAATCGAGTCAAATTTTATGAATTTGAGTCAAATTTGTTGAACTCATTTTTTTAAATAAGTTTAAAAAATTGTTTAAACTCGGCTCATTTAGAAAATAAGTCAATCCCGAGTCAATCCAAAACGAGTTGAATTCGAGAAGTTCGTTGATTTTACATAAAACACAATAGAATTTTGTAAGCTGGAGCTGAGCCTTTTATGTACGATTTTAAACGAAATAATGTTATTTTAACCTAAAAATATGACATAATTTACTGACATAATGATGTGATTTCATAGAAATCATTAGATTAACACAAAATTCTAATATTTAATGAGTCTACAATCAATTCAAATGTCACAGTGAATTAGGTTAACAAATTATGTCAGTAAATTAGATCTCAATAGCATTGCTCTTTTAAATTAGCCTAAAAATTTGTTCAAATTCAGCTCGTTTAGCATATGAGTTGAGCTCGAGTCAAATTTTATGCGAGTCAAATCCAAGTCGAGCTCGAATAACTCGACTCGATTATTAGCTTTAATTACAATTTATTTAAGATAGGTTGTGATTCAAACAGACTAAGACGTGACTCAATATACTGAGTTAGGATTAATCTAAAAACATGGGATCGTTACTATTTAAAATCAATTCTCAATTTTTAAACCTTATTAAATCATAATTTTGAGCTAATTGAGTTATAGTTTGTTCCGAACCTTTTATTACGGTGATACCATTGAAATTTCAGTTGTGGGCTGCCTGAAATTCCTAGCATTTTGGGCTAAGAGTCAAATTTTTCGGCCATAAAGTCCAAAATATTCACTAGTAGAGATTGACTTTTAGGCCCTTGGCAGATCACTCAATGGTCAAATTCACACCTCTCTCTCTCTCTCTCGCTCTCTCTCTCATGTGTTTCTTTCACTTGAATTCGTTTTCCATCTTCTCTCTTCTCTATTCTTTTTCTCATTCTAGAGATTACCAAATGTCCAAAAGAAACTAAAAAAAAAAGTTAAAGGATGTGCAAAATGAAAAAAAAAAAAAAAAAGAAATAGAAACGAAAATGGTAGATTTGCTGAAACAGAAAATTGTGAGGAAATAAAAATAAATTCACATTTTCAAAAATTATAAAAATTGGTACCCATAATAGCTAGAGGCCTTTTACCCCTATTTTTAAAAAGGTTGTTCTCAAATAACGCTTAAACTGACAAGTATTATTATGGTTATAAATTCAATACTTTTTTAATATTACCCGCATGTAGTAGCTACACAAGAACATTTGTTCAAGATTTGGCTTGATCTTGCCATGGTACATATGGGAGACAATGCACCTGGTTATACTTATTACATTCGGAAAAAGCAAAATAAGCCACCCCAATCCTGCTTTTGTATAGGGCAAGTTAGGTGTCACTTTAAGGTCCCAATCTTTTTCTTTGTGGTGGTAGTGGTAAATATCTTTAAAAGGGAAAGACTATGTGGTCCCACAAGATTATTTTTGATATTATACCGAAATTGTTTAAACAAACGCGGGTGTTACAATCTAATCTAGTAATGTTACAATCAAAAGGAGTTGCTTGAGATCAATTCTAACATTTTAAGATCGATTCTCGTATTTAGAATTATTTCAAATTACGATTATCGTAACTTGACCCAAAACATTATAAATTATGATTATCGTAACTTGTCCCAAAACATTATAACTTCTTAGATAACATATTATTAAGCTTTTTAAAAAGGTGCCCAATTTGAATGTAATTATAAGTTCATGAAAAGTGCTTAAAGTGAGAACAAAATCACTATCTACTCCACTGGAAAATTGCTTGGTCAGTCTTTCAATCAAAGCAGAAAATTTGGTGTAAAGAAAATTCAACAACTTATCATGTGAAGCTGGCAGGGGCAATTTGGTCCAAAATCAAAGTTAGGGAACAAAGATGAAAGAATACAAGTCCAGTGAGTTTTTGTATTATTTTGTGGAAAACCATGAAAAGGAGATTGGGATGTTGGAAGAGTAATGGAAAAATCAAGTAACTTGACTTAACGTAATTCAAGCAAGTTTTTAGCACTATTTTCAAGGATAAAAAGGGCAATTTTGAGAAGAAGAAGGAAGAGTCTGCCTCACCATTGAATTAATTAGAGATAGTTTTTTCCATAACCCCTCTCTCTCTCTCTTTCCCGTAAAAATAATAGTTAAAACATCTTTTTCGACAACACTAACACATCCTCCTTCACGTCATCATTGAATACGATTTGCACCCAAACTTGCACGTCATTTCATTCCCACAATATTATGAACTTGGGGCTTTAAGTGCATTCAGTGCACATCCGTCACATTAATTTAAGGGTTTATACTTAAATTTTTTACAATGACCTCGAAAAATCCTCTGTGGAGGTGAATCTAAGTGAACCTATCTAAGATGTCGAATGAGGCCATTTAGCGGAGATTATAAGGAGTGTTTAGTCATGATATTGATTGAAATATAAGACTCACGTGCTTGTAAATTGATTTTGGGGTTGTAAATTAGGTTTTGATGAATCAAGAAGGTTTTTCGTAGTTTTTTTCCGACGAAGGTTTTTCTCGTCAACAAATCACTCGTTTTATTTATTATTTATGCACATACAATTGTGATTGTTAGGACACACACGCAGTATATTTTTTATTAAAGGTTTACTAGTTTTAGATTATAGTCAAGCTAATCTATTAGATTTATTTAATAAATAAGTCAAAATAAATTTGATTATAAGTGACACAAAGCGAATATGTGTAATTCATACATGACACAAAATCAACAAGTCATGAATATGATCGTACACTAATATAAATAAACTGTGTATAAATTAAATAAATTTTTATCTATTATGAACTTGACGCGTTATAATTCGTTATCGATTCTAATCTCTTGCGTCATGATTTTTGACACTAAAACGTGTTGACATTTTTGATACCAAAAAGGTGTTGAGGTATAGACTACTTGACTAGTAAATAGCCTTTTGAAAATTGAAGCTTTTGTGCTTTGAATCTCTTTTAGGGTTGCATTTAAAGATTTATCTTGATAATCATGTACATAGGATGAAAAATAATGCATTTTTTGCATATGGATTACTATTAATCGGA